TTAAAAAAAAAAAATTTAAAAAAAAGAATGTGGGTATACTGGGGAAGTGGAGCTGATCAAATGTGCCGATGAACTGGATGTAGAATATGAGAGCAGGAGAGTAATCAGAGTGACTCAGGTTGTTGGCCTAAGCATCTGGAAGAATGTCATTGTATTTTCTGTGATAGGGAAGACTAGAGGAGCAGGTTTGAAGGGGGATAGGAATCCAGTGCAGTTTTAAATAGGTGAGTTTGAGATGCCACTTACCCGTCCCTTGAGAGTGGTCAAGTTGACACTTCATATATAAAACTGGAGTTTAGGACAGATCAGAACTTGACCTTAAAGGAGAACATATATTCAGGCCAATTTGAATCTATGCTCCCAGTGAAAAAATAATAATTAAAAAATAATAACTTGACCTTTAAAAGTAGTAAGCATATACATTACACTTCATACCATGGGTCAGGATGAACCACCTGGGTAGTGAAAGTGGAGAGGAGGATTGAGAACTGAGCCCTAGGGCACTCTAATGCATGGAAGATAGAGGGATAAGAAGAATCTAGCACAAAAGACCAAGGCTCGGCCAGGAAGGAAAAAAGAGAACTGAGAAGTGTGTCCTAGAAGCCAAGGAAGGAAGATGTTTTTAGGAGGAAGGAAGAATCGTGTCAGTTGTTGCAGATACATTAAGAAAGATGAAGAGTGAGAACTGTCCGTTGAAGTTGGCTGCATGGAAGTCATTGGAGGGCTCCATTGTTCAGGAGCTCAGCCCTGTGATAGATATAGAAGCATACTGGAAATGTTCAAGAGAGAGTGCAGTGTCATTAAAAAGATGGGGGAAGCCAGGCACAGTGGCTCAACACCTGTAATCCCAGCACTTTGGGAGACTGAGGAGGGAGGATTGCTTGAGACCAGGAGTTTGAGACCAGCTTGGGCAACACAGCAAGACCCCATCTCTTTAAAAACAAAAAAAAATTAGCTGTTTGTAGTGGCACAGCTACTTGGGAGACTGAGGCAGGAGGATCACTTTAGCTCAGAGCAAGACCCTGCCTCAAAAAAAAAAAGAAAAAAAAATTTGACCGGGTGAGGTGGCTCACGCCTATAATACCAGCACTTTGGGAGGCCAGGGTGGGCAGATCACCTGAGGTCGGGAGTTCAAGACCAGCTAGACCAACATGGAGAAACCCTGCCTCTACTAAAAATACAAAATTAGCCAGGCGTGGTGGCACATGCCTGTAATACCCAGCTACTTGGGAGGCCAAGGCAGGAGAATTGCTTGAACCCAGGAGGTGGAGGTTGCGGTGAGCCGAGCTCACGCCATTGCACTTCAGCCTGGGCAACAAGAGTGAAACTCAGTCTGAGGTGGGAGGATCGTTTGAGCAGCAGGCGGAGGTTGCAGTAAGCTAAGATTGCACCACTGCACTTCATTCAGCCTAGGCAACAGAGACCCTGTCTCAAAACAAAAAAGTGTATATGTGTGTGTTAGGTGTATTTGTAAAGACAGAGAGATGCAGACAGAAATGGTAAACTAATAACAATTGTTTAATCTCAGCGAAGGATACGTTGGGTGTTCATTGTACCACTTATCCTACTTGTCTGTATGGAATTTTCTGAAAAAACATTGGAGGGACAAGGAAAGAGTGAATGGGAAGAAAGGAAATGGAAACAATAACTGTAGGGTCTGCATGTCTTGCAAAGAGAAGCAATGAAATGGGGCGTTGAAGAGAAATGTGAAAGTCAAGGTTTTCATTTTTTGTTTGAATTCTGGAGAGAATGCAGCCGACAGTCATGATCCAATACAAAGGAAAAACAGTGACCTAGGAGAGAGAGGGAACTGGTGATGTAGTTTCTACTTACACATCAGAGTCTGTCTTCTTAATAACTAGGAAGTTATTATTTCTAGTAATTCCATCCAAAATTAAATTGTTAAAACAGTTAGTCTTAGATTATTTAATGTCTTTTTTTTCTGCTTAAATAGCAATATTTTTTGACTTGTTTTCTGCAGGTTGTAGGAAGTGTCCTGTATTTTACTAATTTTTGCCTTGATAAATTGGGGCAACCGCTTCTAAATGAAAACCCTCAGCTTTCCGAAGGATGGGAAATACCCAAGTATCCTACATAGTGAATGAAGATCTTTTATGCATCTTGCCACTAAGTTCACCTTTAAAACAATTTCCAAATTTTGCAGACCATGATACCTATTCCTTAATAAAATTCACTAAAGGTACCAGCAAGTCTTCAGCCACATTGTTTCTCTAGAAGGGCAAGAAATACAAGTAAAGGCAAAAAGGTTTGTGTGGGGAGTTGTTTTGTTTTACTTATTTATTTTTTTAACCGAAATCATGAACTTTGGGCTTGAAAAGTTAATGTTCTTTACCACTGGTTTACTCTAAGGTTAATTACAGATTGAGCTAGAATTTCAATCCATACACATATATTAAATGTTTAAATGTTTCTTGAAATTCACTGGTTCTCTCCTAATGTGCCGGGGTGGGTGGAAAGGTATAATTGTTGCTGTCAATTTGATTGTAGTCTTATAACCATCTGCCTTCTTTCCATGTTAACGGAAATATGATCATCTGTTTGGCTCGATTCTTCTGTTGTTAGCCCCTGAAAAAACTCAAAAGAGGTAACAGATCAGTCAGGAACAGAATGGTTCTTGGTTAAAAGACTCTGCATAGTACTGTTTAGATCACTAAATACAGGAGATTTAAGTGTACTTCTTGCTGCAGATATTAGTGATCTGTGATTGACTTGCTTTCTTGTCTCTCTGATGCACTTTGCTGTCATAGAATTTTATTGATTTGCTTTTATATTTTTATTTATGTTATAAAAATCTTTGTCTTTTGACCAAATAGGCCAAAGCCTCACTGTTTCAATTGTGGTTCTGAAGAACACCAAATGAAAGATTGCCCAATGGTAAATTTTTCTCATGTTAAGAAAAGTCTTTGAACAAGAGCTTTCTAATGTTTTCAGCAGATTTATGGCGTTGTGTGACATGAAGAAACTTTCTTTGTTACTTTCCTGTAGTCCTTTAATTTGAAATGTTTTCAAATTTGTGTTTATATTTTAAGACATTAAAATTTTTTAGTAAATAATTTAAAATACTACTGTCTATTTGAGATGAATAAACAGGAGAGTTAAACTGTAGAGTTTATCCTAAAAACTTGATTTAATTTATGATAATATTGAGGTGATGGACTGCTCTTCTTCCTTATGTATTTTTTAAAAATATTCACCCTCTTTTACACTTGTTCATCACACATTAAAACTAAAATGATTTGTTTACTTAATCTTAAAAAAAAGTAAGTTTTTATTTAATTTCTGAAATATTTCTGAGTTGCATGACACCATTCTTTTCAAATGTGTCATGATGTAGCCTCGGAATGCTGCTCGAATAAGTGAAAAGAGAAAAGAGTATATGGATGCCTGTGGGGAAGCAAACAATCAGAATTTCCAGCAGCGCTACCACGCAGAAGAAGTAGAAGAAAGATTTGGAAGATTCAAGCCAGGAGTTATTAGGTACCAATGGCATTTTACCATAGAATGTCATTTTTATTTCCCTAGCATTTGGAATGTTCTGTGTATCTTCAGGGTAATTATCAGGATATAAGTGTACTCTGGCAAAGCCCTAGGTAAGATACATTACCAAAACACTCGAAATTTTAATTATATTTGTTAGACATCATGCTACATGGTATGTAATATAAGAAATGTTTTAAAATACCAGAATATTATGTGTTTCATGCAAACAAGAATTCAGTATTTTTTTTCCTCCTTTATTTTTACTTAGTGAAGAACTTCAAGATGCACTAGGTGTGACGGACAAGAGTCTTCCACCTTTTATCTATCGGATGCGCCAGCTAGGGTACCCACCAGGGTGGCTCAAAGAGGCTGAATTGGAGAATTCAGGGCTTGCACTCTATGATGGAAAAGGTATAGTATCTTAAGTTAGAGAAGTCACCTGAAGTGTTTTTTTGTTTTTTTAATGAAAGAATCACAACAGAATGTAATAGGAATGGCTGGCTTCTTTAATGTGTGCCAACTAAAAATATCATGGTGATGTTTCCTTAGTAAATTTTACAAGGAAGGAACTAAAACTTCAGTGAGTTCATAGAATTATCTGATGGTTTTCTGGGCTTGCTCAGGTACTGTCTAGGCCAGAGTATCACCTCTCCAGACAATCCTCATAAGCTTTTACCTTTCTCAGTAGTAATAACAGACGTGGATCCTCAATGCCAGGAGACCTATACAATGTAGGATACAGAAAACCTCCAATAGTCTAGAACTTCTCTCCTAGACAGCTACTCTAGAAAGATATTCACACATATGCAAAAGAAATTGTATGTATACAAGGATCTTTTTGTAGCACTGAATATGATAGTGAAAAATCCATGACAACATTAAGGCTCTAAAGAATAGTTAAATAAATTGGTAGTTCTGAGCTGTAAACTCCCTGCAACATGAAGTGTGAAATAAGTCTGTATGAGCTGACATGGCAAAGTCTTTGTGCAATATTGAGTTTTAAAAACGCAAGTTTCAGCCTGGCACAGTGGCTCATGCCTGTAATCTCAGCATTTTGGGAGGCCGAGGTGGGTGGATCACTTGAGATCAGGAGTTCAAGACTAGCCTGGCCAAGATGGCAAACACGGTCTCTACTTAAACTACAAAAATTAGCCAAGCGTGGTGGCGGGTGCCTATAATCCCAGCTACTCAAGAGGCTGAGGCAGGAGAATCGCTTGAACCAAGGAGACAGAGGTTGCAATGAGCCGAGATTTGCACCACTGTACTCCAGCCTGGGTGACAGAATGAGATTCTGTCTCAAAAAAATAAAAATTTAAAACCAAGTTTCAGGAGGGGAGTTGGGGAGAAGAAAAAAAGCAAGTTTTGCTGGTTGAGGTGGCTCATGCCTGTAATCTCAGCACTTTGGGAGGCTGAGGAGGGAAGATCACTTAAGCTGAGGAGTTTTGTTACGGTATAAAATAGTTTTGGGCTGGGTGCGGTGTCTCACACCTGTAATCCCAACACTTTGGGAGACAGATGAGTGGATCACCTGAGGTCAGGAGTTTGAGACCAGCCTAGCCAACATGGTAAAACCCTGTTAGCCTAGTGTGTTGGTGGGTATTTGTAATCCCAGCTACTCAGGAGGCTGAGGCAGGATAATTGCTTGAAACCAGGAAGTCGAGGTTGCAGTAAGCCGAGATCATGCCATTGTGCTCCAGCCTGGGTGACAAGAGCAAACCTCTGTCTTCAAAATATATAAAAAATAAAAATTGGCTGGGCGCGGTGGCTCATGCCTGTAATCCCAGCACTTTGGGAGGCCGAGGCAGGTGGATCACAAGGTCAATAGATCAAGACCATCCTGGCCAACATGGTGAAACCCTGTCTCTACTAAAAAATACAAAAATTAGCTGGGTGTTTGGCATGCGCCTGTAGTCCCAGCTACTTGGGAGGCTGAGGTGGAAGAATCACTTGAACCCGGGAGGCGAAGGTTGCAGTTAGCGGAGACTGCGCCACTGGGCTCTAGCCTGGTAAGTCTCCATCTCAAAAATAAATAAATAATTTAATTAATTAAAAATAAATAAAATAAAAATTTTTTTAAAGTTTTTTGGGGGGTTTTTTTTGTTTTGTTTTGTTTTGAGATAGGGTCTACTAAAAATAATAAATTAGCCAGGTGTGGCAGTGCATACCTGTAGTCACAGCTACTTGGGAGGCTGAAGTGGGAGGATCACTGGTGCCCAAAAAGCACAGGCAGCAGTGAGCTGCGTTCATAGCACTGCATTCCAGCCTGGGTGATAGAGTGAGACCCCGTCTCAAAGCAAGTTTCTGGATAACTTAAATATTGTGGTGCCATTTGTCTTATAAAAAGAAAGAAAACCGCCGGGCACAGTGGCTCAAGCCTGTAATCCCAGCACTTTGGGAGGCCGAGGCGGGTGGATCACGAGGTCAAGAGATCGAGACCATCCTGGTCAACATGGTGAAACCCTGTCTCTACTAAAAATACAAAACATTAGCTGGGCATGGTGGCGCATGTCTGTAATCCCAGCTACTCAGGAGGTTGAGGCAGGAGAATTGCCTGAACCCAGGAGGCAGAGGTTGTGGTGAGCTGAGATTGCGCCATTGCACTCCAGCCTGGGTAATAAGAGTGAGACTCAGTCTCAAAAAGAAAGAAAGAAAACCAGGCTGGGTACAGTGGCTCACACCTGTAATCCCAGCACTTTGGGAAGCCGAGGTGGGCAGATCTCTTGAGGTCAGGAGTTTGAGACTAGCCTGGCCTGGCCACCGTGGCGGAACCCCATCTCTACTAAAAATACAAAAATTAGCCAGGCATAGTAGCACACTCCTGTAATTCTAGCCACTAGGGAGGCTGAGGCAGGAGAATTGCTTGAACCCAGGGACAGAGGTTGCAGTGAGCCGAGATCGAGCCACTGTACTCCAGCCTGGCACCTGGCGATGGAGCTAGACCCCGTCTCAAAAAAAAAAAAATGAAAAAGAAAAAACCACATGGTTGAAAAAATGCTCTGTTCTCTCTGAAGATTTACATATATAAAAAGTCTTAACAAAGAACCATTCAGATTCTAGGGTTTAGACTCATAAGGGGTCTTCCCTGACCACCTTTCCTAAGTTTGAGTCTTTCTCATTTGCCAGTCTGTCCTGCTGGTCTTTATTACTATACTGTTTCCCTCATGCCGTATCATAATTTATATACATTTGTATTATATCTTCTTTTTTTTGAGATGGAGTCTTGCTCTGCCACCCAGGCTGGAGTGCAGTGGTGCGATCCCAGCTCACTGCAGCTTCTGCCTCCCGGGTTCAAGTAGTTCTCTGCCTCAACCTCCTGAATAGATGGGATTACAGATACCTGCCACCATGCCCAGTTAATTTTTGTATTTTTAGTAGAGACAGGGTTGCAGCATCTTGGCTAGGCTGGTCTTGACCTCCTGACTTCAGTTGATCCACCCTCCTTGGCCTCCCAAGTGCTGGGATTACAGGCGTGAGCCACCGCACCTGGCCCCTATATCTTTATTTCTATTTTACTTGAATATTGTCTATTTTCCCACCTACTACACCTAGCCTATAAAGTGGTTTGAATAGTATGTGCCTCCTAGGCTTAGTATGAAGATTAACTGAAAATATATATGCTTATTATGTATGTACCCATAATTATTAAAATAAAAAATCTAAATATAAAATACAGTTCCCTCCCCCAAAAAGATTAATGACATTAAAATTTATGAATGGCTTAAAACACTAACTGAAAAGAAAACACCCAGAGGCCAGGCACAGTGGCTCATGCTTATAATCCCAGCACTCTGGGAAGCTGAGGCAGAAGGATCACTTGAGCAGTTCAAGACCAGCCTGGGAAACATAGTGAGACCCCATCATTACAAAAAATTTTAAAACATTAGCTGGGCATGGTGGCATGTCCCTGTAGTCCCAGGTACTGAAGACCCTGAGGTGGGAGGATTTTCAGAGCCTAGGAGGTTAAGGCTGTAGTGAGCCATGATTGTGTTCTTATACTCCAGCCAGGGTGACAGAGCAAGACCCTGTTTCAAAAAAAAACGAAAGAAAATAACTATCTGGACACATAGTAAACACTATATAAATATTTATTAAATGAAATAAAAGCATTAGAATTAGAGCATTCGTGACATCCTAAAGTCAGTATCAAATAGCCTTTTTCTTTTCTTTTCCTTTTTTTGAGATGGAGTTTTATTCTTGTCGCCCAGGCTCGAGTGCAGTAGCACAATGTCAGCTCACTGCAACCTCTGCCTCCTGGGCCCAGGTGATTCTCCCACCTCAGCCTCCCGAGTAGCTGGAATTACAGGCTCCTGCCACCACCCCAGCTAATTTTTTTTTTTGAGACGGAGCCTTGCTCTGTTTCCCAGGCCGGAGTACAGTGGCGCAATCTCGGCTCACCAAAACCTCCGCCTCCCAGGTTCAACTGATTCTCCTGCCTCAGCCTCCTAAGCAGCTGGGACTATAGGAACGTGCCATCATGGCTGGCTAATTTTTGTATTTTTAGTAGAGGCAGGGTTTCACTATGTTGGCCAGGCTGGTCTTGAACTCATGAACCCACCTCAGCCTTCCAAAGTGCTGGGATTACAGCCGTGAGCCACCTCACCCAAACTGCCTAGCTAATTTTTGTATTTTTAGTAGAGATGGAGTTTCACTATGTTTGCTAGGCTGATCTCGAACTCATGACCTCAGGTGATTTGCCCACCTTGGCTTCCCAAAGTGCTGGAATTACAGTCATGAGCCACTGCACCTGACCCCAAGTAGCCTTTTTTTCCTTTTTTTTTTTTTTTTTTTTTTTTTGAGACGGAGTTTCACTCATGTTACCCAGGCTGGAGTGCAATGGCGCGATCTCGGCTCACCGCAACCTCCGCCTCCTGGGTTCAGGCAATTCTCCTGCCTCAGCCACCTGAGTAGCTGGGATTACAGGCACGCACCACCATGCCCAGCTAATTTTTTGTATTTTTAGTAGAGACGGGGTTTCACCATGTTGACCAGGATGGTCTCGATCTCTTGACCTCGTGATCCACCCGCCTCGGCCTCCCAAAGTGCTGGGATTACAGGCTTGAGCCACCGCGACCGGTCGCCTTTTTTTCCTTTGAGACAGAGTCCCCCATGCTGGAGTGCAGTGGGCGCGATCTTGGCTCACTGCCGCTTTGACCTCCCCAGGCTCAGGTGATCCTCCCACTTCAGCATCCCAAGTGGCTGGAACCACGGACACATGCCACTACACCTGGCTAATTTTTATATTTTTTGTAGAGACACAGGTTTGCCCTGTTGCCCAGGCTGGTCTCAATCTCCTGGGCTCAAGCGGTCTGCATACCTCAGCCTCCCAAAGTGCTGGATTAATGACACAAGCCACCATGCCCAACCAAAATAGACATTTAAGCAACTCATAGAACAACCAAAGTTTCCAAGATTTAAGCTTCCATGTTACTTTTGTTTTTGTTGTTGCTGTTGTTTTTTTCCTTTTGAGACACAGTCTCCCTTTGTCACCAGGTGCCATGCTGGAGTGCAGTGGCACAATCTCGGCCCACTGCAACCTCCGCTTCCCAGGTTCAAGCAGTTCTCCTGCCTCAGCCTCCCGAGTAGCTGGGACCACTACGCCACTATGCCCAGCTAATTTTTGTAGTTTAGTAGAGATGGAGTTTCACCGTGTTGGCCAGGATGGTCTCGATCTCTTGACCTCGTGATCCGCCCACCTTAGCCTCCACAGTGCTGGGATTACAGGCGTGAGCCACTGCGCCTGGCCCTTTCATGTTACTTTCTACAAAGGTAACATGCCCACATTGTTTAAAAATTTTGTTCTGGGGCCAGGCGCGGTGGCTCAAGCCTGTAATACCAGCACTTTGGGAGGCCGAGGCGGGTAGATCATGAGGTCAAGAGATCGAGACCATCCTGGTCAACACGGTGAAACCCTGTCTCTACTAAAAATACAAAAAAAAATTAGCTGGGCATGGTGGTGCGTGCCTGTAATCCCAGCTACTCAGGTGGCTGAGGCAGGAGAATTGCCTGAACCCAGGAGGCGGAGGTTGCGGTGAGCCGAGATCGCGCCATTGCACTCCAGCCTGAGTAACATGAGTGAAACTCCGTCCCAAAAAAAAAAAAAAAAAAAAAAAAATTTTGTTCTGGGCTGGTTGCAGTGGCTCATGCCTGTAATCCCAGCACTTTGGGAGGCTGAGGTGGGCAAATTGAGCTCAGGATTTCGAGACCAGCCTGGGCCACATTGTGAAACTCAATCTTCACCAAAATACAAAATCATTAGCCAAGTGTGGTGGCACATGCCTATAGTCCCAGCCACTCAGGAGGCTGAGGTGGGAGAATCGCTTGAACCCAGGAGGCAGAGGGTGCAGTGAGCCAAGATCTCACCACTGCACTCCAGCCTGGGTGACAGAGTGATACTCCATCTCAAAAAAAAAAATACATATTTCTTCTGGCCAGGCGTGGTAGCTTGCCTGTAATCTCAGCACTTGAGAAGCCAAGGCGGGTGGATTGCTTAAGCTCAGGAGTTTGAGACCAACCTGGGCAACATTGTGAAACTCTTGTCTCTACTAAAAATACTTAACTTAGCCAGGAGCAGTTGTGCATGCCTGTAGTACCAGCTCTTCAGGAAGCTGAGGTGGGAGGATCACTTGAGCCTGAGAGGCAAAAGCTGTAGTGAGCCAAGATGGTGCCACTGTACTCCAGCAGCCTGGGTGACAAAGCGAGAACCTTTCTCAAAAAAAAAAAAACAAACTTATGTCCTAATGGTTTAGAAAAATTATAGCTATTTCAAAACTAATTCTGTTGTCATGAGTATAAGCATTTTCCAGGTGTACTTTTGGTCTGGGGAGAGATGTATATTGACATTTAACAATATTAATACTTTTTATGGTCTGTAATAGATGGCACTGATGGGGAAACGGAAGTTGGGGAAATACAACAGAATAAAAGTGTCACTTACGATCTCTCAAAATTGGTCAACTATCCTGGTTTTAATATATCCACTCCAAAAGGAATTCCAGATGTAAGTATATTGATTTTTTTAAATTATCGTGTGATGT